GAGGGTATATTTATTCCAGTCACTTTTTGTCTCTTCCTATATCTGTTATGGCTGACTTCCATTTCTTCCCTGCTCTTGAGTCGCAGCATGAAGAACAACAATTGGTGGCCTTGGAAAGATAAGCCCAAATGCTTTTGAGTTGCATTTGCACGTCTGGAATTGGGGTCTGATTCTTCACCGCTGTATCCACAGGTGCTGGGTGGGCGGAGGGGACAGGACTGATAGGACGGCAAACATTTGTCCTTTCTTAGTGACTGACCAAAGAGGAGTTAAAACCTCTGGCGATTTGGAAAGAGTCAAGGGCAATCACTATGTTTGGCTGCTGATATTGGTCAGATTATTTTAGACTAGGAATTGCCATTGTGAACAAGATCTAGACAGTGACCAGCTCAGGAGCTTCAAAGGATGCTGTGAGAACATGGCAGCAGCTAACCACGGGGAAATCCTCTTCCATATCGTGCCTCATCTTGACCTTGAACAGATATCAGTATGATCCTTGTGACCTGACATTTAATAAAGTCTTTTGAAATCTTGTTATCATGAGCTACAGCAGCTCTGGAAAGCCTTGGTATATAACGCTTTGTTGCAGAAATACCAGAAGCATCTTCTAAAATAATTTGCTCAGAGGCAGTAGGAGGTGGATGCTTCAATGCAGAAGATTCCTAGTTGGAATCTTTAGCTGTGGATCTTTAAAGAGATTTTTAAGAAGGTTTTTGTCTGGCAGCTGCATTCACTATGCATTGGCTGGTACATTAGGAAACTTCAAGTCTGCACATGAAAATACATTGAAAATTATTACTCTCCTACAGCATAGTGATAAGGAAGAAAGTGGACTGGATGTCACTCTGTGAAAGTCTATATTTATAATTTTTCCAGAGTTTTTATTGAACTGGAGAGGCCCACAAGGTTTCCGGCTCTGAGATTACAAAACTTTCTTGAATTTGCTCCTTTGAATTCTTTGCTAGACGTGAAATTGTGGCATAAGTGATCTTATGGAACTCCTGAGTCTGTCACGGTGACGGCATCGTTTGGCCAGGGGAGGGACAAGATGTCATGAGGGAAAATGAGAACAAGTTTGCTAATTCCAGCTGGCAGAGGTCTGATTTGGGTGGAAGTGCTCGGGAAATGCAGGAAAGATTCACTTGTAAGGCCTGATGTGTAGGGTCGGGGTTCTGTGATGAACTCTAAAGAGGAATGTGTGTGTTATTTGGAAACGGTTATGCAGAGCCGGTGTCCGATCCTATGGGTCTGGAAAACATCTAGGCAGGTGGGAGCTGAGAACTGAGTCCGGGTTTTAGGACCAAGTGCTTTCACTGTAGACTTGGACCTCATCCTTGATTTCTTCCCCCGAGCTTTAATGAAAATCAGAGTAACATTGTCTCCTGGTGGCCCTTCAGCTGGAAGCCCGGTGGTGCAGAGACTGCACAGCACCTTGTGCAATGCGGCTCCCCCCTTCCTCCCCGTCCCCCTCTGCTATTGTAATACACCATCTATGGTAACCGAATATTCATTATTAGCCTCCAACTGACTTTAAATAGACCAGTGACAGCTTCCTTCCTTGTAAATTCCTTCCCCAACAAACTTCTTTTTTTTTTTCCTTCTAATTTTACAATTTTTAATGCAAAAAATAATGTAGCCCATTAACACTCCCGTGTAAAACTAACTTACATTCTGGCCCAGGAACAACAGTCTCTTCCTTGCTGTGTGGGCAATTTCCTATATTGCCTGTGTAAGTCAAGCTTTAACACTTTTTTTCCCCTTCCTACTTTGCTACAATTTTTTTGGACAGCAAAATTTCTGGACACAACATTCAGTTTGTGCCAGCGATTAACAAAACCTTTCATTCCATTAAACTGTCACCCAGGATTACAACCAGCTATTTTGGGAATAGTGACTTTTAGGCACTGAAGGCAAAAAAAAAAACAACAAACAAACAAAAAAAAACCCCCAAAAAACCTGATACATTTTTAATAGACCGAAGGACAAACTAAAATGGTAGCTGTGCACACTGCATCTTGAGTGGGCTCAGGAAACAGTATAAATGTTTCAAGATGACTGTTGCTTTACAAGGTACCAAAGATATCTCTTTATTAGAGCTCAGCTCCTATAAGGAAGAAAAAGGTAGAAATACAGACATAACTGCCTTTGTGTATAGAAAAAAGGCAAAGTGAAAGAAAGAGAATATTTTAGATATTTAGTTAGAAAATACTTTCCTTCCTCAAATAGTTGATTTTTTGGCAAAAATAGCACCCAACATGTTTTGACTGAAATGGAAATATTTCAGTCTGGAGAGAAGTCATTGCAATACCTCCTGGGAACTGCTGTTTGGAAACTTGGTGTTTCCAACGTGTTCCCTCTCCAGCGTGACTCCCTGCTCCTGCCGTGTCTCCCGCAGAACAGCACGGTCCTCTCTTATGGCCATGGAGGCTGTCGTGTCCCATGGGAAATGCAATCTGAAAGGAATTTGGTCCCCAGTGCATAATGGGACTGTGTGGGATCCTGACACCACCTATGCTGGCTCTCAGGGTAAAAATATTGCTGTTTCAGGCATACAGCTTCTGCATGGAAAGAAAATATTCTTTTATCAAGAAAATCAGGTTGTTAAATTTTCCCCCTCTCAGCTTTCCATTGAGACAGAAAAAGCAGAGAAAATGTTGATTTGGGTGAGAAGTACCTGGGATGGGGATGGCTTCTAAGTGTTTGTGTGGTGCTTCACACAGTGAGGGTCTGATGTTGATGGGGTCCCTGTGAACTACTGTGAGAATTTGTTGTAAGAAACCCCCATGCAGATCTAATCCCAGGTTCCAAAAGACATCTAATTCTTCCCCCACTGAAGCAGGGAGAAACTGTGAAAGCAGTCATCTCTACATCCTCCAAAAAAGCCACAGAGAACGTGATGTGGTATCATGCCTTGGTATGTCTCTCCTTCTTCTGCACCGTAGCTCACAGGTACCCCACTGAATGAACAAAAAACCCAAAACAAGGCTCTGTCATTTCTTGAGGGATTGGGCGTTGGCAGTGTTGGAGCTGAGGAAGAAGGAACCAGCCAATCCATGCAGCAACCTCTCATTAGGGTGGAGACCTAAGGGCAAGGTCCATGTGTCGCCTTCTTGTGGCTTGTCTCCTTGGAAGGGAAACATGGTGATGCAGCTTTGGGGTGTTATGCTGGTACTCTTTCCGTAAGGATCCCTGTGTGAAGGTGGAGCAAGACAGGACCAGGCAGCTCAAAACTGTGACCTGGTTGATCTGGGATACCCCCTAGAACCTAGAAGGTTTGAAGGCCATAGCTCTTGACCTTCCTGAAAAGCCACCAAAGCTGCCTTGCAGCAAGAGCTCCTGGGATGGAAATGCTAGTGCTGGGTGTCCACAGGCAGAGAGGTCCTCTGAAGCCCATCACACACCCTAGTGTTCGTTGCAGTCTTGCATATCTGGAGGATAAGTCTCTGCTTCCCAGTCTATTTCTTTTGTTCCTTGTGCACAGCCTGGACTTCAGTTCTGGGAAAAAGCTGCCTGGTCAGCCAGTCCAAGTGTGTGGAAAGCCATCCTCCTGCCGGCCCCGCGGGGAGGAGCTGCTTGGCTTCCAGGGGAAGAAACCCCACCTTTGGAATAGGCTCGGCTTGGCAAGCCACCAGTGCCCGGGGTTTGGAAAGCTTTTGTGGCACAATGAGAGACACATTTATTTGGTTTTGAGCTCCTGGGTGAGTTTCCCCTCCATTACAGCTTGGTTGCTGATGTTTCTGGCAGCCACCACAGCAGTGGTTTGGATGAAAGCTCCCTGCTGTGAGTAGGTTTATATAATTGGTATTGTCAAATTTTGTAAATAAATTCTGAGTTGCTACAGCGATAGGTCCTCTCTAAGGGGCGTAATTGGAGACGCAGGGCTCCTCCTCCACATGTAAGTGGCCAGGTGAGCCTGTTGATGGGATTTTTCCTTGCTCCAGCATAATGATTTTGGGCAGGTGAATAGGATGCCTCAAAGCCAGCTTGGTCCAATGGTTATAGCCCTGAAGAAGAAAGCTTGTGTTGGAATCTGTGCTGCTCTGAGCCTGGTGGCGCTTCGCGAGGTGCTGCTGTGCTACCTCATCTTTATGCATTTTAGCAAGTCCTTGGGTTCAGGGAGCACTTGGCTGTCTTGGAAACAGCCCAGGAGGAGGCTCGCACCTCATCCGAAGTCTCTGAGACACCCTTCTTAGCTTCAGCTCTCCCCCGCTGCAGAGCAGGAATAATCTTGTCCAGCCACATTGCTGGTGTGCTTGGAGAAAAGTCTCCAAAACACACTGTAGGGTCTTGTAGGAGATGGGATTTCCAGCCAGTGTTGGCAAAGCATCCCTGCTTCAAACCAGATTTCGGAGCTAGGGAACAAAGCAGACTTTCCATCAGTGCTCACCCTCCCAGCCTGGCTCTGCTGAGGCGTGTGGTTCTGGCGTGCATCAGGTCTTGGCGATTTATTTATTTCTCTTTTCCGAGCGCTCTGGAGTGGAGCTTCTTCTCTGGTCCAGGGATCCCCCGTCCAGGACAGCCAGACTGGCAGACCCTGGGGAAAAGGAATGGGGACAACTACCGTAAGGGGAAAAGTAGACCTAAATATTTAATCCATCTCCAAGTCAGCTTGGCAGAAACAAAGTTTTTATTTACATGCATGTGCACATCCACATATACAGTATAAATAGTATATAATTTATAAATGCTATCATAATATGTAAATATAAATCTTGTGTATATTTCTATAAGTCCATATATCTATTTGATGTATGGGTGTAAAATAGCAGTTGTGGTAGAAGAGGCACGAATCTAAAGGGAAAGGTATTAAAAGGCAAGTGAAATAGAGAGTGCTGCACTGATAAAGCGTGACGGGACTGCAGCCTCCTGAGAGGGTTTTTTTTCCCTGAAAGTCTAAGCAAACACCATGACACTAATGTGCTGCCTTCATTTATTAATTCACTGATCTATTTATTAATTGATTGTTTTTCTGCCTTGTTTTTGTGTTTCTTTGCTTTTAGTAAAGAGTACCCGGTTGTTCCCAGGAGCACAGTGAGACAAAAAGTGTCCTCGAATCACAGCCCCTTCAGTGGCGAGACCAGGGTCCTTTCTGCCTCCTCCAACCTGGGCTCCCAGTACCAGTGTGAGAACGGGGTGTCGAGCACCTCCCAGGACCTGCTACCGCCTGCCAACCCCTACCCGATCTCCCAGGAGCACAGCCAGATCTACCACTGCACCAAGAGAAAAGGTCAGGCCTTGGCTGCTCCCCGCTCGGTGCTTTCCCCTTCCTACCATGGCTGTCAGCGTTGTTTTCTGATGTTTCCCCTTTGCCCAGGGGCTGGGCAGCCCCAGCCTGCTTTATGGTGACACTTGAGGGTGAGCAAAGGGTGAGGGTTGCGTGCTGGACGTGGGCAGCTCCCCCAGGCTGGGCTGGGAAACTCATCTCACCGGTGTTAGCCTAAAACCCCATCTCTGCCGCTGGGCTGGGAGCGAGCTGTTTGGAGGGGTGGCAGTACCTTTCACCCATGCTGAATCCACATTCAGTAAGATAGCTGGTGCCGGAGATAAAGATGACTTTATCTGTCTCCATAGCCCCTCAGACAGGGTTAATCTCCAAGTGGAGATACCTTGACAGCTTGGATTTTGCAGTTTTCAACTAAGAGTCTCACAGCTGTGAGACAGTTGTCTGTAAGCAGACAGCAATTCCACTTAAATGCTTGGTCTAATGAAGGGGCGTGGGATTGAAAATCATGATATCCATGTTCGTTCCCCTCTGGTGCGACTGACCTGCTTTGACAGAGCTTGAGGGATCAAACTGTGAGGGCTTTACACTGACTGCTCAGCTCGTCCTGGCGTGAAGAGCCCCATGATATGGATGGGATAATTGTTCTCAGGCAGGAGCGAGCGGTTTGCGGTCTCTCCCTTCCTCTCCCAAAGCAATGGAAATGCTCAGGTGCTGAAACACTTGCAGGACGCAGAGAGCAAAAGTCTCAGATCAGCTCTACCCCAGACACTCAGAAGAAAACAGGGAATTTCCAGGGCTGAATACAACCCTATGGGTGGGCAGGAGATGGTTACTGCCTACACCTATCCCCCTTTCTCAGGATTTAGTCTACATTGAGTGGGAAAGGCTAACAGGAGTCAGCACGCACCGTGGCATTTGGAGGCACCAAGAATTTCTCCAGCCCCGTAGCCTCTCCCCACAGCAGATCCCTTCCTGCTTCCCCGCACAGTCCTATCAGTCAGCCACATGTCATTATTTTTAGTAACGTAACCCCTGGGGCGCTGGGATGTGCAGTGTAGACGCACAGTCTAAGGTAGCGGATGCTGGGAAGTGCTGGCAGATGAGGCAGGAGGGCAGTGGAAATCTCTCTCACATCCTTGGTGAATCCCCTGAATGTTGTAACATCACGCGTGTTGTGTATAAGTATATACATAAAACAAAAAAAAGTTGAGAAATTTTAATATTTTCCCGATACTGAGCTAAACAGTGGAAAACAGAGGCATCGTTTTCTGACCCCTCCAGCTGACCAGGCGACCCTCGTGCTCATATAGTGTGTTGGAGATGGTGATGCTAGACTTGAGCTAGCCCTAAGGTAGGGAATAAGGAGTTGCAGTGGCCTCCCAGCGTGTCCCCTAAGGTCAGAGATGGGGCGTGTGGCCCTTGGCGTCAGTGTGGGACTGTGGGTGCGAGGTACTGGGACACAACTGGGTTGCTGCAAAGCCCCACTGTTGGTGATGGAAAGGCAGGTCCCGTTCGCCCTTGGCGTCCCTCAGCCTGCGATCTGTCCTCAGTGCTCCTTTGCCCTGGGAGCTGAGCTTTCACCACTCCTCTTCCCCTTTGCAAAAACTAACCAAAACAAGCTGGCCCAAACGGCAACAAACCCTTTGGACAATCTCTGACTGCTGCGTGTCCCCGCACCGCAGGGCAATTCATCATTCGCCTCCACATTGTAACGTGATAAGGAATCAACAGAGGTTTCCTTCCAGTTTTGGGATTCCCGCTAAGTGGTGTCTCCATGGGTGGTTTCCCTCAATCCCCCAATTATCTCACTTCCTCTTATTGTCACAAAAGAGACGACTATCTGGCCTGTAATAAGCTCTCCGGCCCCTTTTGGCCTGCGTGGCCCTTGCAAAAGTGCAGGAGACTGGCAGAGCGAGTCCTTGTCTGTACGGCTGATGGCCCCTCATTATCTCTACGATGGCTTGAGTGGCACAAGCAGTTAAGGAGCTTTTATCAAAGCCGCCAAATGCTTTAATCAAAGAGGAGCAGTGTCCTGTCCGATACCACCGGCTTCTTCCGTGAAGCCGTACGTCTCAGGAGCCTGAGTCTCTGCTTTCCTCCCTGTGTCTTTTCCCCCCCTGCACTCCCCATGCATCTAGTAAATCGAAAACAGCCACCAGAGCTTAAAGAAAAGAAACACAAAGTTAATGGGAAACAGAGAGCCAACGTAAGCTGCCAAGCAGTTCTTTGCAAAGTGAAATTAATTAAAAAAAAATAAAGTCACTAGAGATGAGCAATTCTGTTCAGATAAATCAGAACGTGATCCACGGTTTCATCTCAAACTCAGACCGAGCGTGCACTTTCTTCTAGGACTGAGCAAGGATCTTTATTAAACTTGGGGAAAATAACCTTACCGATAATATTCCTCTTTTCCAGCCTCTCCTTTCTAAGTGTAATATTAAGCTTTCCCTCACAGCTCTCCTGCTTTCCTACTTTTCTGCATAACTTTTAACAAGCCTTACCATCTAAGAAAGTATGAAAGCAAGAGCGTGTTCACTCCTAATGCACCTCTGTCCATTGTCTGGACTGGAAGTTTTATTGATTTCATTGGATCATCAACTCCCCAAACACTGACTCCTCCTCAGTCACTTTAGGATTTATCTTAAGCGGATTATTTCCTTTTTGCAAGGCTGTGGTTATGGATAAATGCTCGGAGGGGCAAAGGGCAATTCAACTGGGTTTGAGACCAGCTGGTGTCTGTATCTTCTGTAGCAAATACCACCACTGTTTTCCAAGATAGTCTCTCTGATAAAGCTCCTTCTAGCTTTGACATCTCATGATGTTTCTCTGTATCCTTTTTAATCAGGAGGTCAACTCTTGGTTTAGGCTCAGTTAAGAATAGGACTGTATTCGAGCAACTCAAAGGCATCTTATTCAACTTCTACTTCCTTGGTGACCTAGGACAAAGATTTAGCTCTGTGGTTGACAGTGTTGTTCTTAGCTGTCAAGTCAAGATGGATTCACTCTGGAGATCTGATACGGAGTTACATTAGGGGACAGCAGCAGGGCTGCGAGGGGATGTTATCTCTGAAGGCTTCTCTGTTTCAGGGAGCTGATTCTCTTCTGGGTGAGGAAGGAAGGAAGGAAGGACACATCCCAGAGCCCCAAATCTGGCAATTCCTGGTGCACAGGTGGAAGCGTGGGGTCGCAGCATTGGGAATGAGCCCAGCATGGTGCAATGGGGTTGCTGCTCCAGGTGTCTTCTGAACATGCTGAACGCTGGGGAATTGCAGTCCTCAAGGCGAGAATCATAGAATCATAGAATGGTTTGGGTTGGAAGGAGCCTCAAAGATCATCTAGTTCCAACCCCCCTGCTACAGGCAGGGACCGCCTCCACTAGACCATGTTGCCCAAAGCCCCATCCAACCTGGCCTTAAACACTGCCAGGGATGGGGCATCCACAACCTCTCTGGGCAACCTGTGCCAGTGCCTCACCACTCTAACATGCTGCGTTGTATCCCAGCTCCAAACTGAGATTGCTTACGGGATTTCACAAATTCACTGGTCTTGAGAGGATGGATTAATTCCAATCCTGTATCTCACTAAGGAGTTGCCTCAGTTCCTGATGTGGATTTTTAAGCTGCAACAAAGACCAGTTAGAGCTTTGCCTTTTTTCTAGTTGTTCTCCACCTCTCCCTCTCTCATTGTTGTGCTTGGAGAAGCCCAAGAGGACTTACCAGCAGGCAGCTTGCTTTCTGTCTTTCATTTTAGCCCCACGTCCCAATTAGGGTATTGGGGCTTGTTTTCCCTTGAGTTATCCTCTCCTTCAGACTTCCTGTGAACTAAAAAGCCATCTCTCTAAACCTCTGCTCCCTCCCAGCCTTACACAATCTCAACCACTTGGCAGATTTCTGGGATGCTTGTGATGCTGAACAGGAGGTGACTGGAACAGCCTCTCCCTGGGGAGGTTATAAAAGTTGTCATGTTGGCACTCTGAGGGAGAAGAGGGATGTGGCAGAATCCACTGGCTCCAACCAGCAAGGACCGTATCCTTCAGCCCCCCTAGCTTGGACATGACCCTGCCCGTGGGGAAGAATATATTTTTCATCTCCTTCCTGCTCTGCTGAGGTCGGCAGAGATACAGCAATGCCTTTCCCCCTTCTCCTCAAGAACAGGCACTGGTAGGGTGGATAGACCTCTTTGTTGACTGACCTGATTTCTCCCTCATCCCACCCAACTTTTCTTTCAGCCAAAGAATCTGTAGGATAAAAGTCATGTACGGGATGTCTTCTTGTAGGACACGCTGCTTGTCCTGCTGATGTTAGATGCAATGAGTTGGTCAAGGCTTGAGCTATGCTGCAGCTAGAGGTGTTTGCAACTTGGGTAGATGTGGTGGAGCCCACACCAAGGTGGCTGCTGGGGCACCAAGGATGAAGAAGAGCCTGTCTGCATGGTGGGGAGTTACTCAGGGGGGCTGGTGTGCACCCAGCTTTCGCTGTGCAGCCACGTTGCTTGTAGTGTTGTGGTTTCAGTGGCTTCACATAAGCATCCCGCTGTCCCATCAGGAGGAGCCTCCTGTCCCTCTGCAGGCAGTGCTGGCAACTCCCTGCCTCTGGAAGAGGTTCCAGCTTTTGGCGTTGGATTGTCTTTGCCCCACAACCCTTTCTGTCTTGTTCCCCTGCCATGCAACACAGCCATACTGCAAACCGCGCGATTGCTGAAATAACTAGAGTGTCTTAGGTTTCATGTCCTAGGATGCACGCCTGCTTTGCCCTTTAGGGATGTGAATTTTGTTTGAATCTGCCTTTTTCTTTTCTTCTTTGACAACCCTTTCCAGTCTTGCACATGGTGATTGGCTATTCGGGCTCATGCTAGAGTCATACTAGAAACCAGACTGGATAAAACAGCAGCGTTAGTGATAATCACCCATTGTGTTTCCCTCACAAAGTCGGGATGAACCTACTGTAATGCCTTGGAAGTGTGGGTGAGCTTTAAAAACTAAAACAATTGGGTCCCGTTCTTTATTGTCTTCTGTCCCGGGGAGCTGATTGTCATGAATTGTAAAGGAGCTCTCCTGATTTACACCAGGGGAAGAGGTGGGCCCAGCGCATCCAAAAGTCCAGAGATTTTACATGTTTGCGTTTCATTCTGGATGGCCCTAATCTTGGAATTGGGAAAATTCCATTTAAAAAGCCATTTGTGTGGGATTTACAACCCAGCTGGAAGTAGTAAATACCTGAAATCTTGGAACTGCTTATGCTCTCGCTCAAGCTCCTTCATTAGATAGATCATGAAATTCCTTGTGAGGGAGCCAGTTTCCACCCCATTCTGCAGGCTCCCTTTTCCTTGTATCCACTTTGGAGCAGCTTCTCCCAACGCTGGCAGCTTCCCCTGCTTGGCAGAACCTTTTGCTTTTTGAGGTTTTCCTGCTATCGAGCGGCTGGTCACAAGAGCCGTTCACCCACCCTTGCCTTCCAAAAATAGCAACAAATGTGGAGGATGGCCAGCATGTCCCAGGATGGTCAGCATCTCCCGAAGGTGCCCAGCACCTCCTAGGGCTCAGTGGCAACAGGAAAAGTACAATGAAGTGCTATCAGGGAACCAGCATTAAAAATCAAACCCAGTTATCTCCTATGTTCTGCTTACACTGATGCTGAGAAGGAGAGAGGACCTTCAAGGAGAGGATTATGGCCTTGGGATGCAGTGACCAGGCTCCAGAGCAGGTGGGGTTGACTTTAAACTGCTGCTTCCAGCACTGCGTGAGAGCTCTGTTTGACTTGTCCTCCTTTTGCCGTTCTCTTACTTGAAGACATCCCCTTCCCAACCCCGGATCTGCTCTGTACACCATGGCGATGCGCTTCACCTGCTCTGTGCTGGCCCTGGTCTCCTCTGTGAGAAGTGGTGGGACAACGTCAGATCAGACTAGAGAGCTTGGACCCGTGTAAATTCACCAGCTGAGGATCTCTGGTCTGCATCATCCCATCTGATGATGAGGATGGACTGTTCTCTTCCCTCTCCAGCACTTTGAGGTTACATAGATGGGAAAATCATCAGGAATAGGGTCTAGAAGGCAGGCAGAAGCTGTCAGGGTAGGCCGTAATCCTTCATTAGCGACTATGTCCTCTTTGGAGATGAGTATGGTGTCCTTACACTTCTTAAAATCTGGAGTGATGGTGCCCTTTCTACATAGGACATCAGTGAGCCTGGCTCTAGAATGGCCAGCTGAGCAATTGCGAGAGCTTACAGAAGGAGAGAGGGCACCTATTGGGTTTCCACTGAAATTCTGGTTGTTTTTGTTTTTCTCTCTTCACCTGTGATGAATTCTGGAAGCGGATCCATAACTGCGGCTCTGGCTGGGCTGTGGCAGGCAGCGAAACGTCTGGGCTAAATGGAAAAATCAGCAACCTCAGGTTGTAAGTCAGGCGCGTTTTTACACAACGGAAAACCAGAGTTTGACTATTTTGCGTTGTATATTTAAAAAAAAATAAAAATAAAATAAACAGTCAAACCCCAGCCAATGATTTCTAATGCCAGCGGAGTAATGCGGTTTAATGCTGAAAACTTTATTAGCAGAACAATGCATCATTTTACAAGACATTGTTTTTCCACCCTAGCGTTCTTATTACTCAGTGGAGGGTTAGGGATCCAAAACTTTTGAGCTGCCTGTAAAAGCTCGAGCTGTTCTTCCAGATGTACCTCCGGTGATAGACCCGTGTTCAGGAGGGAGCTTCGGCCCGTGCTTCCAGCTGCTGTCTGCCAGGGGACTACATCCTCTCCGCCGCTCCCATATAAAATGAGCCTCATCAGGATTAAGGAGAGTGATACGCTTTCGCATCTGTCTGCTGACTCTTTCGGCTGTTTTAAAGATGTGATTGCATTGCTCGCTTATCCCATCCTACCTTCTGTCCAGACTTAAGAGAAGGCAGAGGAGGAAGAGAACTTGATTATCAGGGCTCTGCATTGCTGCGACTAGGGAGCCAGGTTTTGCTGTTAGGAAGAAAGCATGAAACGGGACTGTGGCTCACCAGCTGAATTTGCGGGCAGCTGCTATTGCAAAGTCAGAGGACACGAAGGGGAAAGTCCCCACGGTGTGTACCTCAGCACCCCATGTTTTCTGGGGTCGTTGGTCCAAGGAGACCAACAGCAGCGGTTGTTCCAGCTGGACTTGGTGGACACCCGAGTGGGAGTAACGGGTTATTTTACAAGCAGGGTGGGTGCACCTTCCAGGACAAAGCACGTGGCTGTTTATAGTAATAAGGGTACGCGCATGTGCGTGTTTACAAGAAACAAAAGGTGCCTGCGCTGCCCGTCTGCACCTCCTGAAGGTGAGGTGTGGGCACTCGCGTCGGAGCAGCCCAAAAGCAGCACCTGTGTTTTGTCAAGTCTTTCTTGGGGGGGGCAGATGCTTTTAGTCCTCTTTTTGGTGGAACAGGTTTTTTTTCTTCCTTTGTATTTTGGGGGTGAAAAAAATTGCAGCTCAAAATATATTAAGAAAATTTCCAAAGGGCCGTTTCTCGCAGTAGTCTCAAATTTTACCCCTGTTGAAAAGGTGCAGCCAAGAGGGCTTTAAGAGAAGTGGGATGTTTTTCTGCCTGCACCAGGTATTTTGTTCTTGAAGCAGCAGCAGCAAAGTTAATCTGGGTCAGAACAAGCTCCCCTTCCCTTGCCTCACTGTCCTTAAAATCTCTTGGTGAAGTGCTCGTTCCTGGGAACTTTGCCATCCATTCCAGCAGAGCTGGATTTCATTTGATGACCCTGTGAATGAATAAATAAGTGCATATTCATTTATTCATTTTGCTTCCCCCTAGAGATTTCACCTAAATTGTTTATCTTCTTCCCTCTGTTGGCGCGGGATGCTGCAGGAAACAAAGGGCTCCGCAAGCTGTGCCTTGTTGTTTCTAGCTGTGAAATTTACTTTTCTTTTTTTGTTACGCTTGGCTCCAGCACACAGCCCTGCGTGGATTTATGTGCCCAGCTCCCTTGGCACAGCTAAAGACCGGGGCTTCAAATCTGATTGTTTCAACTGTGCCATTGCTGATGCTCTCCTGGGGGGGATTTTTATTGTGATCGCCATTTTTGTCTCATTTATTGTGAAAATATGTAATTGTAAAGGCTTTTAGTTAACAGCATCAGCTCTGAGCCTCTCAGCTGGGAGTGGGGAATCTGTTAGGTGCACTGTATGCGCAGGCAGACGTTACTCCTCTGGCAGCAGAAAGGAGACGAGGAGCTTGGTGGTGCGGGGGTGTGCGTGGGGTATCCCCAAGCAAACTAAGCTCTCAGGATCCCTCCAGCATCTTTCAGCCTTGATTTTCCTCCCAGAGCTCCCAGCTGATCCCTTCCCCAGTCCAGCAGACAGGGCCAAGTGCAAGGCTTGGTCAGCAGGATAGATTCAGATCGATTCCGAGGAAGGGATCTGGATTTACGCTGAGGTAGCTGAGAGCAGTGTCTGGATCACCGCTGCGCAGACTGTGCCCTTGGTAAAACAAGGATTGTGGAGAGGGGGGGTTCAGCCGAGGGCACGGTATTGTTGTTCGCTACCACTTTTCTCTCCCAACAGATGAGGAATGTTCCACCACCGAGCATCCCTACAAGAAGCCCTACATGGAAACTTCTCCGGCAGAAGAGGATCCTTTCTACAGGTCCAGTTACCCCCAGCAGCAGGGACTGAACACTTCATACAGGACTGAATCAGCCCAGCGCCAAGCATGTATGTATGCCAGCTCTGCGCCCCCCACGGACCCCGTGCCCAGCCTAGAAGACATCAGCTGTAACACGTGGCCGAGCGTGCCATCCTACAGCAGTTGCACAGTGTCTGCCATGCAGCCGATGGACAGGTTACCCTACCAGCATTTCTCTGCCCACTTCACCTCGGGGCCGCTGATGCCGCGGCTCAGCAGCGTGGCCAACCATACCTCTCCCCAAATAGGAGATACCCATAGCATGTTTCAGCACCAAACCTCGGTTTCTCACCAACCCATCGTCCGGCAGTGTGGACCTCAAACCGGTATCCAGTCTCCCCCCAGCAGCTTACAGCCCGCAGAGTTCCTGTATTCCCACGGCGTGCCTCGAACCCTTTCGCCCCACCAGTACCACTCGGTCCACGGCGTGGGTATGGTGCCAGAGTGGAGTGAGAACAGCTAACAAGGCGGTCAGGAAAGTGCAAGAGCATTGGCCATGGGAGAAAAAAAAAAAAAAAAGGGAAAAGGAAAAAAAAATACTCTGTCGATAATAAAAACGAGAGTATTTTGCAAGACTCCTTTTAACTGAATGTTCACCGATAGCACTCGAGAGGGACGGACACTGATTGAAACCACAGATGAAATGGTCATC